TCCCCTCTCCGTGGGCATCTTTTACACAGATCTCCTTTTAACACAGAACCCATGTGACTCTTCCTCTACTTTCCTCTCAGATTTTTGAGCTCTTCAATTTTGGGAGTTTTTATAAATGTGGAAGATTTAGGTCCCATCTAATGCGTTGGCCAGTTTGTCACTTGATCTGGCCCATGGCGGTAGTGGTTTTCCCTGGCAGAAGTTTTTGATTGAATTTATCCTTTCTTCCTTTATGGGTCTGGAAAGACCTCAATCATTTCTTCTTTATGAGGAGACCTCCCTTCAGTACTTTTTAGAGTCTTTGTGTAGTCCAGGTTGGCCTCAAACTTATGATCCTTCTGCCTTAGCTTCGTGTGTGTGTGTGTGTGTGTGTGGTGGGGGGGGGTGGTCTGTTCTAGCCACTATGTGGGCTCTAATGACCAGACTGGAGTGGTCAGGCCTGGCAGCTGATGTCTTTAACCACTGAGCCACCTTGCCAGCCCTGGATTTATTTTTAAGAATAAAATAGGGATGTTTTTAGAATGTGCTAGCATTTGATGGGAAGTGTCCGTTCTGAATTTCCTGTCTTTTGAGAGAGCTACCTGGCTATTCCAACACCAGTGGGTCATCTTTCCCGGGGGTAGGAAGTCTTCTGCAGATCCCCATGTGAGATTGTTTATTCGTGTGCCAGTTGCTCTAACTGCTGAGACTTCCTGGTACATTTAGAGTTTGGCAGGGCTTGTCCCTTGGCTGGGAGTTGTGTGTGTGTGTTTCATATGAATTGTAGGAGCAGCATGTGGAGCTGAAAAAGAAACTCGTGTTTCTATTGTAATTTCTTTAAATTACAAACTGGCTTTGGGAACACTGAGGAATGCCTCTGCTTTGCTGTCACCGTCTTGTCCTTCAGAGTGCATTCAGGCACCCTCCCTGAGGCTCTACACATTCTTGTGTGGCATCATCTCAGGTGTCACCTTTGTAAACGCAGACTTCTGTCATACTTTCTCACCCCTTGGGTGTTGGTGATGGTATGTCTCATGTTGTGTCTGGATGCCTGGAAAGCCAATGGGTGCTGGTAAACAGCACGTGAGTAATGAACCCACAGACCGGGGTGGCGTTCAGACAGGTGTCCCTTCCTGTGCCAGGGGCTGCTGCCCCCATCTCCTGATTGATAGTGTGCCAAGCCCCCACCAGTGCCTTGGGAGCTACCGGAACCTCAGGACTCCCCATCAGGCCACCCCTCCACTGTAGGTAGAAGGGAGCGCAGCTGAGGAGTCTGTCCTGATCCTGCCTCAGCCTCAGATTACTGTGTGATGGTGTCCAAATGTCTTCTGACGCTCAGTCCATGGTCTGCTAGAATGAGGATGGCAATGTTGACTTTGTAAAGACAGTGTTAAAATTATGATGTAAGTAAAATACCTGGCCTGGGGCCTGGCACGAAGGCTCCCTTCTCCTGACCCTTGCTGTTGCTGTGTGAGAACCCCAGGTTGCTGGCATGGGAGTGAGACCAAGGCTTCCCCGGCCTGGCTTTCTTGAGGGAGCTGAAGGTCTGCCCGAGTCCCTTCAGTTTTCTCTCTTCTACCTCCTATTGCTCTTCCCTTTCTCCTTTGACAGTATTTCATTCTACAGCCTGGGCTAGACCTGATCTCTTGGGGTCCCTCTTACCTCAGCCTCCCAAGTCCTAGGATCACTGGTACAAGCCACTATATCCACTCTGCTGCAGATCCTATCCGTGTCCTAATCTGGGCAGGGTGGAGGAAGTAATCTTAGTAAGTGCAGGATGCTGGGTAAACCTGGTTTCCTATGTGAGAGAATGCACGTCAGCCTGCTGTTTTGTGGCGAGTCTCCGAACAGATGCATTGGGGTTCATGTCCCTTTCAGAGTCTAGCACACACCTTATTAGTCAGGAAGTCCATCGAGAGCAGGATGTGCTTTTTTCCAAGGCCATCTGGAATCTGCTGGGCTGCCTGTCTTCATCCAGCTGTGTGTCCTTGGGCAAGTCATGTTCCCACTCCAGGCCTTCTGTTCCTCATTGTAAACCCAGGGGGCTGGGTTAGAGCACCCTCTGCACTCTGCCTTTCCAGGTTCTCAAGTCTTTGGATTCCACTGGGGATAAATCTCCACCTCAGTGGCAAAGCACGCCATGGTAAACTCTTGAGATGGATGTTTGGCGCTTTTGCAATCACTAAAATAGAACAGGCTTGTGAATTGTGGCCAGAACATAATGAATCCCATTTCTGTAGAACAGTGATGATGATGGGATACTCATGTAGTAGGGTGGTTGACATGGCTAGTCCATTTGGCCCGGTACCACTCTACAACAGATAGGAAAGTGGGACTCTGGCAAATTAGTTGAACATGGTGCCTGAGGAACTTCTGACCAAAGCCAGGTGTATGAGTCACCCAGTTGCATTCAGATTCTCTCAGGCTGGCAGGACTGGAGTTCGGATCTACATGTGCATTGTGGTGATGTGTAGGGGTCCTTCCAGACATGTTCCAGACTGTTAAGAGCTTGAAGGGTGTTTGAGACCACCTAGTTGAGGGCTCTATTTCAACAGATGCAGGCTCCAGAGTCTGGAGATGAACTTGCTCAGGACTTAGAGCTAGTGGAGAGATACCAGGGCAGCTTCTCTGTGGCCTAAGTTGCACTCTCTAGCACAGTGATTCTCAACTGTCCTAATTGCTGCAACCCTTTAATACAGTTCCTCATGTTGTGGTGACTGCAACCACACAATTGTCTTGTCTTCGTTGTACTTCCTGACTTAATTTTGCTACTATTGTGAATCGTAATGTAAATATCTGTGTTTTTCCAGTGGTCTTAGGTAATCCCTGTGAAAGGGTTGTTAGACCCCTAGGTTGACAATTGATTCTCTAGTAGTTCCTACCTGACTCTACAGTTTTCTGTTCTCTGGAAGGTGTGTTTGGAAGTCTCTCACCCCAGTCATCAGGAACGCTGTCTCATAGGCAGAAGTGGCCACCTTCTGAACAGAAGACTCTGTGGAAGTAGGGAAAGGAAGAGCCTGTACTCATGGATACTTAGTGGCTGCTGCAGCCTATCCCCACAATGGCTGTGGTTTGGTGTTTTCTCTGGTCTGCCTAGGAGAACCAGAGAGACTTGGGCCCAGCCAGCATTTGGGGGAGCTGTAGCATGTGAGTGCCCATAGAACGATTGTATTGTATACATGTTCATTTTTCAAATTCTGACCCCCCCCCCAAAAAAAAGCCTCTTTACCCACTCAGCCAAGAAGCCTGAGATGCAAAAGAACAAAATATAGAACCCTTTCTTTGGGGGAAGTTTGTTCATTTTAGTGGTATTGGGAAGTGAGCCCCTAATTCCAGCACTGGGTGAGTTCATAGTTTGAAGAGTCAAGAAGAATTAGGAAGCCACATGGCATGGGCAAGGCAGAGTAAGAAGCTTCAGATCTGGGAGGTTCGGTGCAGGTTCAGGTCCTTGCAAAAAGGAGAAAGCAGGACCAGCTGTGGGAGGATGGGAGAACAGCAGGAACTATCCTGCTGAGGTGGGGACCCAGCTCCAAGGCTGCCTCCCAGGAATCACTTGCTGGCTGTAGGGAACAGAGACACCCTGGTCCTCCCCTCCCCTCACTCCAAGTACCTGTGCTTTGGTGACTTGTACAGGGTGACAGAATCCTTCACAGAAGGCCCAGCTCTACAGCTCACCGTATGAGGACCTTGCTGGCTGCTGGGAAAGGGTTATTCTGCCTCAGTTTGAGCTCAGTAGTCCAGGGCTTCCAGGAAGCTCTGCACTTACCCCCAAGAGGGGAACAGGGGCTGTACAGAAAGGCTGGCCAGAGCCACCTAGGTGAACTCCAGAGCCCAGGGCAGGCAAAAGCCCTCAGCTAGCCCCTGGACTTCACCAGTCCTCCAGGTGCAGGATGATCTTGGGACCGTCTGGGACTTAGGATTCAGCAAGACTTTCTAGTAAAGAGCTCAACTCTGGGCCTTTTTCCGCTTGGCACTGTGGCCACCCAAGGGTTAAACATTTCATTCTGCAGAAGCAGCAGCAACCCTAGCCTGGATGGGGCACCCCCTAGGCCGAGGAAAGCCTGTGGAAGGGAAGAGGAGCTGAGGACCAGCATCTGAGATAGAAAGCAAAGGGTTAACAGATGCAGCAGTGCTGATAAAATGCCCCAAATTCCTGGCCCTGCCTCCAATGGGAGGGCGTCTGGCAAATGTCAACGGTAAAAAATGCATTTTAATGGCACCCAAAGTAGCGCTACCGTGGGGCACAGCCACAAGAAACAGGTTTTTTTTTTTTTTTTGGGGGGGGGCAGTTAACTACTGAGTGTTTCTGCCTGGGCTCTGGTGACCAAGCATCTTGGGCTCTTCCCTAAGTGTCAGAAAGCTAGGCTGACCTCTGTCCCAGTTGCTCTTGGGTGCTCAAGGTCTCCTGCAGGCCTAGGCATCAGTTCAGGAACTTTGCTTATCATGGGATGGAGGAGTGCTCCTCAGGCTAGGAATTGCCTTGAGTAGCTCAGAGGGCAGCATGCAATTAGCTGGCCTCCCACCATGCTCCACACTAGAGCAGGACATTTCCCTCAGCTTCTCCCAGCTCTCCTGTCCTGCCAACCATTACCATAGTTGCTGACAGATGTGGAAGGTGGTAGCTGAGCACTCAGAGTGTGCAGTCCCAGGAAAGGCAGGGCATCTCTAGGTTGGGCGGAGGGGCTAGGCTGTAGGATCTCACAGGTGAGGTCCAGAGAAGGTGAGACAGGAGGTCAGTGAGGCAGCGGCTCCCTGGCCTTCTGCCTGCAGCTCAGACTACTCACTCAGCTGTACAGGCTTAAACTTTTCCTAGGCTCTTGATGGCCAGGGTGAAACAGCCCTACACTGCAAAAGCTTGGAAAAGCTGCCCCTGGAATGGAGAGGCTGTGGGGATGGAGTTGGCACCCCCAGTTCCTTTACTAGGGAGCTTTGAGACATTTCTGGGTTCAGATCTGGGTCCTAGACTCTCAGGAAGAGGCTAGCCAGGACCTGGGTCTCAGATCAAGACCTTCTCTCCACAGATCATCCTCAACTCCATGCATAAGTACCAGCCACGGCTGCACATCGTTAAGGCAGATGAGAACAATGCTTTTGGCTCCAAAAACACAGCCTTTTGTACCCATGTGTTCCCAGAGACCTCCTTCATCTCCGTGACCTCCTATCAGAACCACAAGGTATGGTAACCACAACCCGCACTGGAACACCAACCAGCCTGCCTGCTGTCCCTGAGGTGGAGGGAGGCCGATGCTCATGCAGGGACACAGAGAGTGATGCGTGGGAAAGCAGTGTAGTACAGGTAGACAGCGAGACTGTCATACTGGGAAACAGCCAGGGAGTTAAACCGAGGAGCCCTGGAGAGGGCAGAGCCATGGCCAGCTACTGGAAACTAGAGACATGGAGTCTGCCTTGGGGTTAGAGGGTTGGGCTCTTCTTTTTTAGAATCTTCCTGTAGGTAATCTGGGCTAGCAGGGCTAGCAGGGAGAGGAACCTGGGTCCCATCAGCTAGGTGGCTGGCCTGTGCCAATCACCCCCCACTCTTCCCTTACCCTGGTCATGGGCAGAAGTGGATTCTAGAAGTATGACCAAGTCAGATTTGCAGTCACCCAGAATCTGTAAGGGGGTTGACACATGCAGAAAGCTGTCACAGGTATCAGGAGAAAGCACCAGAAGGGCTGCAAACAAAGAGAGCAGAGAGCTCGGGACAAGCTCCCAGTGAGCAGCCAGGTCAAGGAAGAAAGACCCAGTTGGTCCTGGACTATTGAGCTGGCTTAGGGCTGGGTTGTAGCTTCTCCAGGCAGTGCCTAGGTTCTCATTAGGCATGGGTTGGGAAAGGAAGGTTACCAAGCCAGCCTCCTCTTTCTCCTCCCAGTGACTCTGTGTGTCCTTTTCTGACAGATTACACAGCTGAAAATTGAGAACAACCCTTTTGCCAAGGGATTCCGGGGCAGTGATGACAGTGACCTGCGTGTGGCCCGGTTGCAGAGGTGGGGCTGCCCTGGCCAGGGGTGGGACGGGAAGAGCCTGGAACCTTCAAAGCATCTTCACTCTCTCCCTGCTCCTCCAGCAAGGAGTATCCAGTGATCTCCAAAAGCATCATGAGGCAGAGGCTCGTCTCCAGCCAGCTCTCAGCTAAGCCCGATGTCAGCCCCCTGCACAGCGCACACCAGGCCCTGCAGCACTACCAGTATGAGAACGGGGCCCACATGCAGTTTGCTGCTGCAGAGCCCCAGGACCTGCCCCTCAACACCTTCCCAACGCAGCGGGACTCTAGCCTCTTCTACCACTGCCTGAAGCGCAGAGGTAGGGTTCTGGGACATGCCTGAGGGCTGGGCCAGGCCAGAGCCATCTTTCCACGGGCAAGCTCACTTTTGTGTGGCCTTGGGAATCCTCAGATGGTTCTTGGTGTTCCAGATATGCTGGCCAGAGCCCCAGGTGTTGGTTTGGGAGCCTGAAGGGGGTTCCTCCTGCTCTGCTCTGCCTAGAAGGAAGCTAGATTATTGGTAGTCTCAGCTGCAGAGCAGGGAGGACCCCACAACACTGGGTCTGGTTCTCTCCACCCAGCCCTTAATGATGCACACAGGCTTCTTGGAAACTGGCATAAGTGACTGGGCATTTGGCTTCTTTACAGCATTGGACTGAAAACCAGCATGTCCACGCTCAGCTGCCAGCCCTGTTTTCCCACAACCAGATGTAGGCATGACTAGTGTGACCTTGCCAAGGGACCTTCTTAGATCCCCAAAATTCCAAAATTTTCTTGGGAGCGAGTATGGGAACTTTTGTTTTTAATCGGTAACATTCTGTTGGCCCACTCCTGGAGAGGAGTCTGGCAGAGTGCCAAGTGTCCTCGATGCAAGTCCCATTATAACCCAGTCCTCTTGAGGTCAGAAGTGGCCTTCGGGTCATTACGTCCGATAATTCTGCATTTTTCATATTACATAATAGTCAGATTTTTTTTTATATCCATAAACAAAGCGTTGGCGGAGCTCATCTATACTCGTACTTGGCCCATAGCTGCTTTAATAAGCCAGCAGCAAAACTGAGTAATTGTGGCACATACTGATGGTCTTAAAGCCTACACCACCTGTCTGGCCCTTTGCTCCTTTCTGACCCAGAGTGACTGGGTCACCTGCCAATTAATGCAGGGAAAGGAGTAAGTACCCCTGGCAGCCAGGAATTAGTCTACAGCAGGGATGGGGGGGGGGGCGGCTCCTCCCCTCTTCCTCCAGGCTACCCAGCTCTGTATACAGGGATTCCTAGAGAAGCAAACACAGGAGGGAGGCCAAGGTCAGCCACAGGGAAGTGGAGGGCTGCTGCCCCAGCCCTCAAGCCAGAGTTATCTCTGGGTCCTGGAGGGGGGGGAGACATCTCACTCCAGAGGGTTGAGCCCACACAGTCGGTGCGGATGGGGTGTGTAGGGGTATGGAAGATGCAGAGATGTGGTTTGTGGTGGCTGATGGCATCTTTCCAGACAGTATCAGAGTAGCCTGAACATTTAGCCTTTTCCCTTGTCATTAGTGCAGTGGCCTTGTGAAGACTGTCAGATTGGGATTGTCAGGACAACCGCAGACGTGTCTTCTTTGAACACAGTAGGGTTAAGCTCTTCTCAAAACAGCAAAAAAAAAAAAAAAAAAAAAAAGAAAAAAAACTTGCCTACAAGCTCTTTGGCCCACCGCCCCCTCCTGAGGCTGTCCGCAGGCAGTGAGGATCGAGGCAGTAACATCATGGCCTTAATTTGTTAGCTAGTTCTGACAGATGTGGTCTCTGGGCCTGGTTCTGCCTGGCACTTGCCTCCTCTTTCCTGGGCCAGGGCTGGGCTAGCCCAAGAATGGCAGTATGTTAGTATCCCGAGAGTCAGGCTGGCAAAGGATCAGAGCTTCGTGTTGCTCGATGCAGCACATCCCTCAGTGTCCGGTAACGTGGTGTCCCCTGTGGCCTTTGACAAGGGTCCATGATCTGACCACTTCTTGGACATTGCCACCTTATAAAAGCTGCAGTTGATCAGACAGTTCTGGGAGTACCAGGCAACATGGGGACAGGGCGGGTGCTGAGTGAAAAGGGCAGGCTGTCCTGGCATGTGTGGGTGGGTGGGCGCACCAGGCCCTGGGCTGCTGGGAACCCCCCTTCTTAAGCACTTCTCTGTCTTCCAGCAGACGGTGCCCGCCACCTGGACTTACCGTGCAAGCGATCATATCTGGAAACTCCCTCTTCGGTGGGAGATGATCACTATTTCCGTTCACCCCCTCCCTATGACCAGCAGATGCTGAGTCCTTCCTATTGCAGTGAGGTGACCCCCAGAGAGGCCTGTATGTACTCCGGCTCAGGGCCTGAGATCGCAGGGGTGTCTGCCGTGGACGACTTGCCCCCACCGGCACTCAGCTGTAACATGTGGACATCGGTATCGCCGTACACCAGTTACAGTGTTCAAACCATGGAGACTGTGCCTTACCAGCCCTTCCCCACACACTTCACCACCACCACGATGATGCCCCGGCTGCCAACCATCTCGGCTCAGAGCGCCCAGCCACCAGGAAATGCCCATTTCAGTGTGTACAATCAGCTGTCCCAGCCTCAGGTCCGAGAGCGGGGACCCTCTGCCTCCTTCCCTAGAGATCGTGGCCTCCCCACAGTGTGTGAGAGGAAGCCACCCTCACCGCACCTCAACGCTGCCAATGAGTTCCTCTACTCACAGAGCTTCTCCTTGACCCGAGAGTCGTCCTTACAGTATCATTCAGGAGTGGGGACTGTGGAGAACTGGACCGATGGATGACGTAACTGCTGTATCCTTGACAGCCCCAGGACCATGTCAATCCAGTATTCACCTCTGTGGGTGGCTGGCACTGCCAAGAAACATGGGAAGGTATTTCAGAAGGTGTGTGTGTGTGTGTGTGTGTGTGTGAGCGCGTGCGCGCATGTTTCTACTACGTGTGTATGTGGTTGGAGAGCATCTGTCTTCTGACATGCAGCTAAGGCCAAGACAAGGAAATAAACTACAATTATCTAAGAAGTAATTTATCTAAGAAGTAATTTTGGCTTTAGGAGCCAAGTCCACCGTTACCTGGCATCTCTTGAAATGCCCTGGGTAGGATAGAAGTGGAGGGCTCGTGAGTTATCTAGAGTTTTCTGAAATATACTGATTTTACTCAGGGGCCAGCTGGGGTCTCGGGCACAGGGAGAGCTTTCTTTGCTAGGGTTGGGGGTACCTGTGCTTACTTAGGGTTATTGGCCTTCCACCTGCAAAGGGAGCTACCTGCCAGTCTTGGGAACAGGGATAACCCCCCTCGTTTGGCTCCTGGAGATTGTATGAGACTACCTGAGCCTTAGCATGCTGAGAGAGTGGGGCTGGCCGTACATCAGCCTGGACTTGGATTCTTGAAGCTCCAGGGTCTGAGGCATACCTTTCAGAAAGGGTCATGTGCTAAGTGTCACCTCATGGTGCTTGCTTTCCCTCAGAGAGGAGGGGAAATGGTACCAGTAGTATCTCTGTAATTGTTCATGTTTCATCATGATGAAGTGCAGAGCCCCCCCCCCCAGTCCCAGCACGTGGCCTCTCAGCCTACCAGATACCATCTGCATCCTATGATGGGCAGGCAACATCCCATGGAGGTCTCACCCAGACTGATGTTACCCCTCTGCTGGACCATTCTTCTCCCAGAAAAATCTGCATCCCTGGAGCAAGAAAGCTGGAAGAAGGAAACAGACAGTTGAGAGAAAGAACTTGAGTGTTCCAGCTCAGAGGAGGCAATAGCTCTTTCAGAGTGGGCAACGAGGAGAGCACACACTCAGCCCATTATTAGCATTGGACATCGTCAGGGTGTCAGGGTGGCTGGTGTGAACTCTCAGTCAGAATCTGGAAATCACTACACTCTTTGCATGCTGGATAGCTATTTAAATATTATATAAATAAATATATGAATAAATATATCTATATCTCACAAATGCGGGCCACATGTCTAATTCAGCTTTGCTTCTTACAAATAAACTTACTGAAAATGAATGCCGAAGGGAGTATTTGGAAAGACAGCTATTTAAATTTTTATTACATTTGATGTTATCTAAAAATGGTTTAGATATAACATATATATATATTATAAATGCACACACTACAGATAAAGCTTTATTAGAAAACACATTAGCTGACAGTTGGTATGAAACTTCCAAGTGTTTTGGTATATAGCATGGACATTTTATTTTGCATATTGGAACATAAAGCCATCTTGCAACTGTGAAATGTGTGTTTGTCCTTTATTAATGTCTTGCCATTGCTTGGCAGTGGGGCCTGCCTCTCTCTTTTTACTCCTTTTTCTCTTCCTTCAAGTGTCTGGTGGGGCCCTCAATGCCTCTGAGCATTTGTACATACCATGTGTCCTCAGGGTGAAGTAAGTCCAAGTCCTTTCAGTCTCATGATACTCCCCTAGGTTATAGGGCTGTGCTCCAGGGCTCACAAAGATCTGAGAAGGGTAGAGACCAGGCAGGCAGCAAGGATCTCATCTCTTTTAGCAGCCAGCATGACCCTGCAATTTGGGAGAAGTAGAGACTCCTTTGTAGCGTGTGTGTAGTTACTTCAGAAAAATACCTACCAAGTAGGTTTGAGCCAAAGTCTGGGCTTCCTGGAGCTGCTGGCACTGTGAGTATGCCAGCCACCTTCATCCTCGTGGGTATGAAGTGAGTCCCTGGCCTCAAGGTGGATTGGGGGAAATGAAACCCAACTGTCTTCCCTCATTAGGTGAAGAAAAGTGGACCAGTGCCCTGCACAGCTCTCACCATCCTTTAAGACCACCTTGGTCTCCATTGGAGACTGTCTCACAACCCGGGAGAATAAGGCAAGAGGAGGGATGCTTTTAAAGCCTCTTCATCAGGACTAAGACTCCCTGCTCATAAACTTGTCTGCACCCTTCCTTGTGGCTCCTCAGGGCCCTCTCACTGGGGAGCCTACTCCCTTACCTCTTGGTGCCCACCAGGGTTTAGTCACAGAGGAAAAACCTAAATTTAGCTTAGAGACAGGAACGGCAGCTCTTCACTTACAAGGGCCCTGCTCATGCCTTTCCTCAGACGGTAGGTACCCTGTCTAGGACACTCCTCACCTGGAACTGGGAGGGCTGGGAGTATATCTTCCTAGATTCTCTCCAAGGACCTACTTAACTGAGTGAGAGAGTGGTTCCCAAAGAGGTATTCAACCTTGAGGCAGCCCGCAGAGACATTCTGGGAAGCCTGAGTTTCCTTGGCTGTCCCACCTGGGCATGGCAAGAGCAGGGCCTGCAGTGGGATTTGTGGAACTTTTCCTGCCCCTCTGAATCAACAACTCAATAAAAAGGGGGCACATGGGATCTTTTGGAACAAAGGGCACCATTCAGTAGCGCCGGCAGGTCATACATCATCAGCCCAGAAGCCTGCCACATGACACTGCCTGCTTCTACTGGGCCCTACTTGGGAAGAAAAAAATAGCTGATTATCACTCAACTATGTGGCCGTGATCGTGTGGCCCTCTGGGTTCTGCTCCAGCCAAGGGCTAGAGGTCTCTCAGCCTGGAAGATCAGCCACCAGACGACCCTCAGTGACAACAGGTCCTGGAGTCACAAAAGAGAAGCTGGGTCAGACTAACAAATTGTTTTGTTTTTTTTTTTTTTTTTTTTTTTTTTTAAAGCGATTTCTAGCTTCAGCAGGGTAGGGGGTTTGGGGAGGGGGTGAGTCAAGAGGCCTCTGCTGGCCCCTCTAATGGAGCCTGATAGAAGAAATGCAGCCTGGCCTTGCAGTGCCTTATCTTACAACATAAAATTAAAACCCACTTAAAAGGCCGAAGGGCATGTTAACATTCCGCCTGCTGTCTAATTGAAGGAGTTCCCGGTGCAAAGGATTTTACTTGAAAGATGTCTCCCTCCAGGAACAGGGGTGGCAGGGAGGGAGGGAAAGACTCCTTTCAAAGCCCTGCATGAGCTCAAGCCAGAAAAGAACACAGTTTCTGTTTATAGACCCCAATGGTGGTGGTGGTAGTGGTGGTGGTGGTGGGGAGGGCAGGTGGTGACAGCCAAGGTTAGAACAGGCTAAGTTTTCTAGTTTTGCAAAATTTACAAATTCATTAGCAGTTATGTCAGCGGAGGCCAGACTCATTCAGGTAATGATTCAAACATGGCTAGCCCGACAACATAAACCTGGCAGCCTCTGTGGCCCAAAGGCCTCTATTCCCTCTCCCCCCCCCCCCCCCCCCAGCAACCCCTATGCAAATCTCTCACAGGTCTCCAAGGCATACGGAATCAATCAGGGACATCCTGTAAAGGGTGGTGAACTTGCACTGGCCATCTCAAGTAATGGGAACCAGTCAGCCCCAAGCCGGCTGGGACTGAAAGCCAAGGTGACAGCTATTAAGCAATCGTGCACAGAACAAAATGGCAGAGGGGCCGGGTAATCAATTCAATTTCAATGGGCAGCCCGCGCAACTGCAGCGTCTGTCGCAGCTGATTAGAGAGGGCCAGCCTGGAACTTTCAATGTGAGTCCATCCCAGATCAGAAACAGGCCCTGGGATGAAAAGGGAAGGACCGTCTCCTGAGGAGCGGGCGATGAAGGACTCTGTTTTATGTGACTGTGTTCTTCCTCCTCTCCTTGAAGAAAGAGAAGGGGAAAAAAGCCAGCAGTTTGGAGATTAGATAGTTTTCTTTTCAGCCATTCATCATTATGAAGGAAAGAAGACAGGGCAAGAGCAGAGAAAGCTCCAGGGGGATTTCTGCAAAGTCTCACTACAGAGGACCGGCTTTACCCCTCAGCCTACCAGCCCCTGCCTATTACTACAGTCTGATGGGGCCTGGAGAGCATCCAGGGTCCCTCTTCAACAATGGCAAACAGGCCCCAGGGCTCAAAGGATCACAGGCATTCTGCAGAAACTCCAAACCTCTAAATTGTATCATTTGTGAAAATTAAAGCCTGAGCTAGAATAATGAGGAGAGAAGGAAAATGGAAGAGGAAAGTATGAGAGGTTGTGTGAAGCCCAGTAGGTAGGGCACAGGAGACCCTGACTCCCATTCTTCCCGGACCGAGGTCAGAGCAACAAGCCTCCTTTTGCATCTGCTGCCTGTCAACACTAATCCTAGCCTGATGCTGGCGCCCAACAAAATTCTAGGCTCAGGCTTTGTCGTTCTAATCTCTGGGGTTGGGGCCTCTGCACACAGAACAAGGGATGCCCTTAGGCACAGAAGCCAAGAGAGATCAGCTAATGTAGGGCTGGCTATAGGGAGACAGGTGAAGTTAGTTAACAAAGACAAGGAATGCAGGGATAGGAGGAAAGGGGCCATTCTGGAGGCAATGTTGGCTCGGATGGGCTCAGTGCTGGGCTAGGAATGAGGGAGAATGGGCTAACTCAGAGAACTAGAGAGAGGGGTGCATGTGCTTGGATGGTTCCTATGACAAGAATTACAAAGATGATTAAACCAACCTCATAATAACATAAAATGCAAGCTGAGTGGCAGCGTGCCATTCCTGTCTAACCATAAGTAAGAAAAGAAAAGGCAGCCTTTAATGGTTATTGCTGGTGGGAACAGATTGCTAGTTTTTCTGGAAAAAGCAATTTGGTACCCTGGACAATGACTCTAAAAGTATTCACATCCTTAAGGGAAAGAATAACCAGAGATGAAGACACAGCTGGATGCTGTGTAATGCTCATTGTACCATTATTTTTTAAAGTCCCCACTGGCAGAAAGCAAATTGGTAAATGATGATTTCCTCATATTCTGGGATATAATGCAGCCAATGGAATTATGATTATAAAGAGCTTTTAATGACATGGGAACCAATTGAAAATTAAGTAAAAAGACAAGGCATAATAGAACATAATCTCAAGAACATTTAGGAAAAATAAAAACAAAAAACAAAAAAAAACACCAAACTGAAGTAACCAGACTAAGTATCACTAAGTACCAATTAATAAGTGAAAAAAGTACATGTCTTATGTGAGAATAAAGAGTAATAGTGTAGTCTCCCACTACAATTCAATACAAAACCAAAATCCATCCTATGTATGTGTGTGTGTGTGTGTGTGTGTGTGTGTATGTGTGCACGCGCGCGCACATGCGCATGCAAGCATTTATACATACGTGCTATGCACATGCTAGGGGTAGATGATTCAGAAGGATCTGTCTGAGGGTTCTCACCAACATCTCTATTGTTTCAATAAACATGTGATCACTTCTGCAATTAATAGATATAATTAAAAGACAAAAGAAAAATAAGGTGTAATTATAGAATTCTTTGAACCAAAAGAAACTACCCAGATGCTAAGGGCAGTAACTGCAGGAAGAGGCTGAAGCTGCTGATAGCTACACAACCGGACAGACTGCCTTGGGGGCGGCCACACCTTGTCCCTTTCCTCTTGACTCTCTTAGGCTTCCAGTGCTGTTGTTGGGTGATGCCACGGGCTACAGCCTTCTAGCTCACAGGGTATTCTGTCTGATACCGTCTATGTGTGTGGCTCCTCCTACAAAATATGCCCATGAACCTGAGAAGTCCAGCTTCACTCTCCTCTCCTGATGCCACCTCCTGGGTTATTTCTACTAAAGATTCCCACCCCACCCTGTTCTGACTCAAGCCAACACAGCCTTTCTGCCTTGCTCTCACGGTGTGGACTTGGAGCTGAGTCCTTGTGGCTTCTCCCAGTTCATGTCAAGCCCATGCCAAATGATGCAGGTTCTACCTCCCAAAGCTCTGAGCCCACCTGAGCCTGCCTCTCATCCCTCAGGCCTGGAAGTGTCTACACCATCCTGGTAAATCCCTGCATCTGGGCTACTGTCTCCCTTCAGCCAGAGCTTTGGGATGTTGTGAGTTATGTGTCACCCATGTGTGATGGCCGCTGAGACCTGTGGAGCCAGGGAACTGATTTGGCAGAGACAGTTGTGTTGCCTTTATGGGGGTCTCTGCCTTCAGCCTGGGGTAGCACCCCACAGGTGTGGCATGGAAGCAAGGCAGGTCAACTTCCAGGTCACAGGTCATAGGGTAATGGGCAATTTGAGTACCCTTCTGCCCCAATGGGGCCTACAACTGGAGTATGGTGTTCACAATGACAGCTGTCTATCTTTTCTTCCTTGTTGCCTAGAAGCATCTAGGCACAGGAAGACCAGATCAGGGATGTTTCCAGCATCCAGCCTTGACACCTATCATCTCTTAGACATCGAGGCAATTCCAAGGGAACCATGCTCAATCCATGCCAGCAGTCAATTGACTTTGTCTCAAGAAAACACCAC